GTCCAAATAGGACAAAAAGATTTAGGAAAGAAACATGAATGTTTGAAACTATGTTTTCTTGAGAACAGTTTAGAAACTAGTGGTATTGGTTGAAAATGAGTATTAAACTATTGTAAAAGGGTACAAATGATAACTCAAAACACAAATATGTGATGTAATTCAACAATTTTATTTGCAACTTAATTTGATGGTTGATTGTTAATTTATGGAAAATTACAAGATTGTATTTTGTTTGATAAATGGTTAAAACAAATCTTTTGTAATTTTGGTGGCAGTGTAGCTGTTGCAGAAAAGATAATTTAAGTTCTGTTGTCGCTGACATCTATTGGTGGAATTGGGTCTGAAGCTAGACGTGAGCATGCAGTGCACATGACCAATTAAAACTTATAAGCTGCATGTGTGTATGGACATGAGAGAAAAACAAGATAGTTGAAGACAACCAAGTAGGGAAAATGGACAATATGGACAATAACACCTCCTAAATGTTTGGCCAGAAGGCACACACGATATGTTTACATATTTTGTCTTTGTTTATATGGTTAATTTGGTTGTAAATGCAATTAAGTTAACACTTTTGTTTATATTGTGTATTTAACACAGTTTTTCACGGTGTTTACTGGCAAAAGAAGATGTCCTGTGTGGCAAAGAAATAATTAAAAGCTGGGAAAACATCAGTTGATTCATGGCCAAATTCTGTACCAGACAAAAAAACTTTGGGAGCGGTTACAGCTAGATGGCCGGCTCCAGAGGAGGGGGCGTGCCAAAGACACCATCTTAGCACCAACATAACTGGTTTGTTCCACTTTGTAGTAAGCTGTTTGGGGGAAGAATCAGTTTTGAGTTGTGTGTTCCCTTGACTGATGAAACCTTCCGGATGGAAGGTGATAAATTTCAGCAAAAAAAAAGAAACTGTCCAGATGACTTGACTGAAAATTGTTGGATTGTATACCTGGATTATTGAGCATGGACTTTTTTGGTTTTGAACCAGTTTGACATGACTGTAGAGAGGAAGAGGGCCGGCTCCAGAGGAGGGGGCGTGCCAAAGACATCATCTTAGCACCAACATAACTGGTTTGTTCCACTTTGGAGTAAGCTGTTTGTGGGAAGAATCTGTTTTGTGTTTCCTTGACTGATGAAGCCTTCTGGATGGAAGGTGAAACGTTTCAGCAAAAAACCCAAAAAACTGTCCAGATGACCTGACTGAAAATTGTTGGGTTGTATACCTGGATTATTGAGCATGGACATTTTTGGTTTTGAACCAGTTTGACATGACTGTCGACGAGGAAGAGGGCCGGCTCCAGAGGAGGGGGCGTGCCAAAGACACCATCTTAGCATCAACATAACTGGTTTGTTCCACTTTGGAGTAAGCTGTTACAGGGAACAATCAGTTTTGTGTTGTGTGTTTCCTTAACTGATGAAGCCTTCCGGGTGGAAGGTGAAACGTTTCAGAAAAAAAAAAACTGTCCAGATGACCTGACTGAAAATTGTTGGATTCATTTGAAAACATTTCCCCTCATTTGCACTGCCCAATATGACGGATACGATGACGTAATCAACAGCTGCATGGATTGGTTTGTATATAAATATTTAAAACTCCTTGGTTGAAAAGTGAAACGTTTTAAAAATTTAAAAGAAGTAAATCTGTGTTGTTTCAATTTCATAGGATTAGTGGAGCCTATCATTTGCAGAATTATGATGTTAGCCGCATAGATATCATATAAACACTAGATCCCTCATTGGCTGCTGCGGTGCAGGAATTTCGGCCGCCATCTTGGAACGGTCGTCCTTATTTGGTTAAAGCAGAAGATGTCTCAGCACTTCGCAGCTTATTTCTGTTCAGATCGACGGACTGTTGACGTCAGGTCTCGGGGGATAACTTTTCACAGTAAGATGAACATATTATTGTTAGTATTTTGTGAATATAATATTACTGTACTGTATTTATGTCCACCAGCTGATGTGATGTTCAGTGTAACACGGTGTTCAGCTGCAATGAAGCTGACTGAGATCTGATGACAGGAATATTTTGCTAACAAGCATACTCACTATTTCAGCAGCTTTGGTTCATTATCAACAGATATGTATCAGAACTGGAGTTTTGTTTAAGTTCTAGGAAATAAAAAAATAAAACTAGTGAGAATATAGGAAATAGAAAATAAGATTGACCTCCTCTGTACAATGTTTTTGTGTAGACACAAATCTCCTGTTTTCATTTTGAAGGTTTCCCAAAGAACAAGATGTGAGGAAGAGGAGGAAGTATCTTTGAGGAGGATTCATCTGAGCAGTGAGGATTTTAAACTGGAGGATTTTGATCAAACTGATCAGACTGTCCGACTGAGAGATGGTGTGGTACCATCGGTTCACCTTCAAGGAGTAGGAGCATCATTATTAGTTCATTAGAGTTCATAAAGTTACATATTTTATTGTCAGTCACAAGGTGAGACACCTCCATGTGTTTATATGAACAGGTAACTAGAGACTGTAAAGTTCATATTCATGATGTTTTTTCATTTCAGCTTGAAAACTGCAGGACTACAGGAACTCTACAAAAACTGGAGCTGCTCTGTCTGTGGCCTCTCAGGAACGTGCACGTCACACACATACTCTCAGGAACGTGCACGTCACACACACAACCTCGGCCTCATGATGTGAGTATTTCTATTTTAAACTTTTATTTTTCATTTACCTTTATTTATGCATGTAGTCTTATTGAGTCATGAGAACTCATTTTCTCGAGAGACCTGTTTAGGAGCAGATGGTGGGGGTTGAGTGCCTTGCTCAGGGGCCCAGAGTGGGGCCAATGAGGGTGGAGGCAGGTGTGGGTGTTTCACCTTTTCCACCTCATTTTGATGTTGACGGTACCGGGAGTTGAACCTGCGACTTCCTGATCACAGGCCCATCTTCTCTAACCTCTGCACCACCACTCCCCCACATAACATCATATCATACTGGTCATATTAAAACCTCACTGGTTTCCTTCCAGATGTGTTAAACAGCTACTGGTCCCCTGATGTTTCCAGGTGTGTGTGGTCAGTGGATGAAAAGCCTGGCATGAACAAGATGATGCTGGAGATCATCATTTGACGAGAGCTCCCACCTTCTACCTGTGAAGAACAAGAGCAGCTCAGTGATTCCCTCAAGGCTCAGTGAAGGTGCTGAGAGCTGCAGAGAGGCTGATCCATGGAGCTTCAACACAGCAACCTCCAAACATGTCCACCCTCACACACATCGTCCATGAAGACACTGGACCAGAGCTCAAGATAATAAGACACTGATAACAACGACAACAACACACATTCACTAATGATTCAGACAAATTTAAGGTTTTTTAATTGTTTGTTTGTTTTACAATTGAAAAACAGTTTGTTATCCACTGTTGTCATCACTGTTTGTTAAAATCCAGGTCTCTTTTGTAAATGAGTCCTTGTGGTTCAATGGGACTAACCTGTATCAATAAAGGTTGAATGAATATAAATATATACATAATGATTTATTCAACCTTTTATTTATACAGGTTGGCTTCATGGAGCCACAAGGACTCATTTACAAGAGACCTGCTCCAGACCTGGGCCGGATTTTAGCAGGGGCTTACAGGGGCTGCAGCCTGGGGCCCCGGCATTTTGGGGGCCCCGAAGGATGTTTTATGTTTTTGTGAATGGACAGTGTCAGAATTTCATCAATGACTATGATGATTTTGACAGCACCGATGAAAAATGTTCCAATTTGTTCTGGCAAACGTCCATCTTGAATGCTTGCTTGTTATTGGTCCACTTTTGACGCATCTTACGCATTGGGGAGGAGCGTCAGGGAATATTATTTTACAATGGCGGACAACAGAAAATATGACAGCGGAGCGCAGAAAAGAAGGAAGAGAAAAGAAAAAGAGCATCGCGACAAAGAGGCGACAAACAAAATGCCTAAACTGACAGGCTGACTGAAAGAACTTTGGGGCTGTAAAATAATTTGAAAACAAACTTGGTCTTTTTTAAAGTTTATCTGCTAAATTAAAGTAAAAATTTAAATGATTGTAGATACAAAACAAAGATTTTGCATGTCTGCATTATGAGACAGGCTCAAAGTTTCTAACTTTTCAGGGTTGAGTATTGTTTTCTTATTTGGGTTACATGGTTTGCGTTTGAGTAAATGTCGGTCGTGTTTGTGGTTCTAGTTCCTCCAAATAAGATGAATGCAGAAGTGTCATTAATAAATGGAAATCTGTATTTTGTTCTTCATATTTTTCAAGATGTTCTCTGTAAAAAACTTGGTCTAGAAGATGAAAATTGTTCATTTGCACCCATCTCTGCTTTTATTGAGAACAGGGGGCTGTAAAAAATCATAGTCTTTCTAGAAAAGAGTTCAGAGTTGTTTGTAGTTTGTGACAAATGGCTTATTAAAGTTGTAAGTTGTGTTAACTTATGTTCGGTCATTTTCTGCTCATCCTCTAAAACAAAACAAACACATACAA